GCGTTCGACAAGGTCAGCCATCAGGTTCTCCTTCACAAACTCAGCATGTGTGGCGTCGGTGGCTCTCTGCACCTGTGGATCAGCGACTTTTTTGTTGGACGAAAGTGGAGAGTACATGTCGACGACCATCTAACTGACTGGTACCCCTCTACAAGTGGCGTGCCTCAAGGCACTTTGCTGGGGCCCACTCTGTTCCTGATCCACATCAATGATCTACCACAGCTTCTCCGGTCGCCGTGTGCCTTGTTTGCGGACGACATGAAGATTTGGAGAGAAACCGACGCTCCCGATGACTGTGGCCTACTTCAGCAAGATCTCAACCGCTTATCCACATCGTCTGCAGAAGTTCTTCTCCCGGTCAACCCAGCCAAGTCGGTATTTATGAGCCTGGGGAAGGGTGCAGACGGCCGAACCTACACCCTTGACGGCCAAACGCTATATCCCACACCCTCCGTGAAGGACCTAGGTGTACTCTCACGCTACGATTTGAAGTCCGTGGACAACACGAACAGGTTATATCGGAACGGACTGCGCATGCTTTGGGCACTCAAACGTAGCTTCGGCACATGGTCTGAAGAGGTTGCCACTCGCCTGTTCTCTTCTAGCATTAGACCAACGCTAGAGTACGGTTCGCCCGCCTACTTTCCGATAACCCGAGGCGAGGCACAAAAGATCGAACGGGTCCAACACGTTGCTACCAGGCTGATCCCGAGTTTACGTGGCTTTGGGTATGAAGACCGGTGCGAGAAACTAGGGCTCTACACTTTGTCCTACCGTCGGGTGCGAGTCGACCTCATTATGACCTACCGAATTCTACATCTTGGTGAGTTCCCCATGCTAAGGCCAATACTGCACTTACGAGGACCATGCAGCACACGTGGACGCAGATACAAACTTGTCGTGCCGGAAATGAAATGTGTTCCCCACCCACTGTGCTTCGAAAGGAGAGTGGTAAACATTTGGAACAGTTTGCCCGAACATGTGATTGAGGCAACATCTGTGCAGCAGTTCAAAACGTTGTTAGATTTGTATTTTGCCTCTATTCGCTTCAGAGAACGACTGCACACTTACGATGACATATCACATTTGTGAATCCTGATATATCGTAAGTCGAATATTTTAAATATTACATGAGAACGACAATGATATTCACGGTTGACAATTTTATAACGTTTTTCGCCATATTTCGAAAGAGTTGTACAGAATCCATTTCTACTTGCTCTATAATACAGTATTCAGATTTCTACCGATTCCCGAGAGTGATATATATCCTTCAATACCTGTACAAGAACTGAGAGACAGATCATATGCCCGGAGCAAACCCATGATGATGATATGTTCCTGACTCAACCGCTCAACGTCCACTCACAGACCACCCCACCTCCCGTCCTTCATCTACATGTACTCTTATGTCTTCTACGGTCACCGTCACAAACGACCCACGTCTCGCAGCTGATGGAAGTAACAGCCAAACTCCCGGTTCTCCATGTCCTGCGATCGCAACCGCCTCTCACTCCACCGAAGCTCCAGCTCTTCTCCGACCTGGTTCTCCATTCATCCTCGCAGCGTTTAATGTTCGAACTTTGATGCAGATCGGACGACAAGCATGTCTGGCCCGTACTCTTGAAACGCTATCGGTAGACATCTGTTGTCTTTCAGAGACCAGATTACAAGACTCTAGCGCCGTCATCAGAATGGCCTCTCCGGTAAACTCTGACGCCAAATACTACTTGCGGCTTTCCGGAGACCCAGAATCTACCGCCACTGGTCAAGCTGGTGTTGGGGTTGTATTAAGTGCCAGGGCTGAATCAGCTCTGCTTGACTGGATCCCAGTCAACAGCCGACTATGTGCAGTCAGACTAAGAGGTTCATGTAACGTAAGCAGGTGTCGAGATGTTAAGCGTGCCTTATTTGTCGTCTCCGCCTACGCCCCTACAGACTGCAGCCCGGATGCAGTTAAAGATAGATTCTACCAACAACTACATGAACTTCTGCGTTCCTCCAAACGGACGGATATAGTCATTCTTGCCGGGGACTTTAACGCACGGGTTGGCCGCCTTCTACCAAGCGAGCACCACATTGGGGGTAGTTTTGGTCTCGGTGGCAGTCGATCAGACAATGGAGACAGATTACTTGCTCTTTGCTCTGATCATCGCTTGTTTCTTTCGAGCACTAGTTTTCGACACTCGAGGAGACAGACTGCTACCTGGCGCCCGCCCTCACAAACGCAAGAGTGCTCCCAGCTTGACCACATAGCAATCAGCTACAGATGGCGCGGAAGCGTAATGGACTGCCGATCGTACTGGTCAACTTTTCTGGACTCTGATCACGCATTGGTTCGTGCTAAGATTTGCATGCGTTTCGGAGGATCACCTAAGCGCGCCCACTACCGACCGGACGTCGCAAATCTACAAAACGCTGCGGTTTTAACCAGGTACCAAGCCTCACTGTCAACTTTGCTTGGCTCAACTATTGACGGTGATCTCGATTCGCAGTGGGCGCATATCAAAGATGCGTTAGTTTCCGCCAGTATCGACACTTGTGGAGTTACCCGTCACCCACCGAAACATTGGATTTCCGCCGACTCCTTGTCGCTGATGGACAAACGCCGCTTGATCCCATCGGATTCGAGACACGTTGAAGAACGCCAATACCTTGGTCGAGAGTTGCGCAGGAGTCTGCAAATGGACCGCGAAGCTTGGTGGTGTGAACGTGCTAGGGAGATGGAGCTTGCTAGTCTCTGTGGTAATACCAGGAAACTCTTCCATCTCCTTCGAGTCACCGAAGGTGTTCGATCTGGTATAAGTGAAACAATATGCGAAGAGGATGGCACCTTAATCACCAATCTTCAACGACGGTTGGAGCGATGGGCCGAACATTTTGGCTCGCAGTTTTGTTGGCCCCCAGCTCCATCTGCTACCTCTGGCGCTCGCGCTGGGGCCGAGTGGTCTACCCCAACAGACCCTCCCTCTTCCCAGGAAATCGAGCAGGAGCTCCGGCACCTGAAGCGTTATAAAGCTCCCGGCCCTGATGGTCTTCACCCAGCTCTATTTAAAGATGGTGGCTCATCGCTGGTCCGAGAACTCACCGTTTTGTTCTCGAAAATTTGGTCGAAAGAGAAGGTTCCATCATCTTGGGGTGAATCGATAGTCGTACCCATCTTCAAAAAGGGCCTGCGCACAATCTGCTCCAACTACAGAGGAATAAGTTTAGTCCCCGTCGTTTGCAAGCTGCTGGTGTCCATCATACTTCGCAGGCTATCCCCAACAGGCGAATCGTTGCAGCGAGAAGAACAAGCTGGGTTTCGCCCTGGTCGCGGCTGCATCGATCAAATCTTCACACTTCGCCAGATCCTCGAGCTCCGCCATGTGTATCAGAGGCCAACGATTGCTGTGTTCCTGGATATCCGTGCTGCCTTCGATTCTGTCGATCGTACAGTACTGTGGCAGTGCCTTCTGAGGAACGGTGTCCCCGAGAAGTTCGTCTCCATACTGCGCGCTCTGTACAGTCTGACCTCGGGCAGGGTTAGGGCTTATGGCATGCTTTCGCCTACCTTTGTGGTCTCCAGTGGAGTTCGACAAGGATGCCCTATCTCTACGTTCCTATTCAAATGTGCCATTGAGGATGTCCTGAAGAACGCTCTGAGCGATTCGTTGAACGCTGGCGTTGAGCTCCTCCCAGGTAGTCGAGTTGTTGATTTGGATTATGCTGATGATATCGTCTTGCTAGGTGACGATCCACAGGTCGTCCAACTTGCATTAAACCGCTTGACGATTGAAGCATCAAAGTATGGTATGTGCTTTTCGCCATCCAAATGCAAGGCTCTCCTTCAAGACTGGCAGGTGCCTCTGCCTGCACTCACGCTTGCTGGTGAGACACTGGAGGTTGTGGAGAGCTTTGTCTACTTGGGAAGTTGTATCACTGCTGGCGGGGCTGTTGGAGACGAGATTTCGATGCGCATCTCGAAAGCACGCCTCGCTTTTTCTAGGCTGAGGCATTTGTGGCGTCGCCACGACATTCGTCTCTCCATCAAAGGGCGGGTCTATTGTGCAACTGTTCGTGCTGTACTGTTGTACGGATGCGAGACCTGGCCCATTCGTAAAGATGACTTGCGCAGGCTATCCGTCTTCGAGCACCGCTGTCTGCGGTCCATTGCCCGTGTGTGGTGGCAGCACCACGTAAGCAATGTGGAAGTTAGACAGCGTGTCTTGGGACGTGGAAGCCACTCGCTCGAGGAGCTCATCTCACTGCATCAACTGCGGTGGTTGGGACACGTATTGCGCATGCCTGTCCAGCGTTACCCCCGTCGTGCGTTGTTTGCACTTGCTGGACAGGGCTGGAAGAGACGGTCTGGTGGACAGCCTACAACATGGAGAAGCCGCATGAAAAAGTTGACGAAACAATTGGCCTCGGCCGGTTGTTGTCGACTACCTGGTTGGGGTCCGAGAGACGAGGATACTTGCTGGTTGAAAACCTTGGAAGTTATGGCTCAAGATCGATGTCAATGGCGGACGTGTGCATCAGTGTGTTGCGGTGTCCCTTCCTCCTCCCCCTAAAAACGAACAAACTGAAAAAAAAATTTCAAAAACTGTGAGTGGTAAACTTGACAAAAAAAGCATTTCTTGTTGCTCTTTTCTTATTATTCATATTGTTTTCCTATTCAGCCATGATTCCGATGGCACAATATCTGTACCACAGATTGTGTATAACATATATATATATATATATGTTCCTGACGACAATGCAAAATAATTGCACCTGCAATTATTGGAGCACTTCTGCGTACAGTTGTTTCGGGAAAATGTTCCACCTACTATGGATAGTGGTAAAATCACTTAAAATGCATCATAAAATGATACTGCCAGTGCGGAGGGAAGCAATGCTTAACAACTGACCAACAACAGGGAGTACAGAAATATGTGTGTTAGTTAGACGGATCGAACTAAACACAAAAACGCGCAAAGGCGGACACACATGCACAAGCAGACGCACGCACGTACCTGGTGAACATGAGTGCTTGCCGAATGATTCGCAAACCCAAAGAGTATTTCCGTTTGATCATGCACATTTTGCACATAATCCGCAACACTTCGACGACCACCGTGACCGAAGGCATGGTGCGGTCGAGTGTACAGCTACGCAGTTGTTCAATGGAGAGCAGGACAAATTGGTGAGCCGCAAGATATTTGCACATAGCGTAGTAATAATTGGCAAGTTGGGCGTGTAGGTACACGACGCAAATGTTTGGATGGGGTGTGTCGTCCAGAATGCGAAAGACGTCAGGTGAAATGGTATTGGACATACAAGGGAAAGACTGAACACCAAGAGAAAAGAGATAATGGACGCGCATGAGCAGAAAACAACGGAGTCATTGGTAGGAAAATAACAAGGTGATGAGAAAAGTTGGCCAAATAGAAGAAAAGCAATCGGTCGTTTGTAGAAAGAGCGAGAACACCAGTATAGCTACATGCGTCGCTGTCACACGGCAAAGCCATGCCGCTGCTACAAATTTTTATTATGAGTACAATCGAAAATAAAAACGTGTCGCAACGGACTAATCTAAATGAAACGAAAGCAAGAGTTCTTAACCTATACTCACCGGTAAAATTGCATTGAAAGGCAAAATAACCTACCGCGTGGGCACAGGAACATTGTGTGAGCAATGAGCGTCTCAGGCGTCATGTAATTGGTGCAAGAAGGGCGAACGAACCGCTCAGCACCGTCATTTCACGCATCACGCTCTGATGGCTGGGCCACGTGTTGCGCATGCCAGCACACCGTCGCGCATTGTTTGCGCGCCGGGGGTGTGGATGTAAGAGGATGAGGGGTGGCCAAGCGATAATTTGGTCAAGAGGAATGAAGGCCGTCACTTCGAGGTTGGCGTCGGTTGGCCTCTCCCGGCTACCGGGCTGGGAACCAATGAGCGATGAACACCTCCGGTTGGATACCCTAGTTGACAAGGCATGGAGCTGAGCTCAGTGGCGTTTGTGCTGTGTTTCTTTCTCGCTTCCCATCTTGCAAACCTTCCCCGTCCAATCACGATTTCAGTCTTGGGGCATAATATGTTACTAAGCACTTTGTTACCTTTCTTATTCTATAATGTTTAGTATCTCGCTTTTCTTAGATTTTATTTTCTTATATTGCAGCACAATAGTTGGAGTGTGTTTCTCACCTTCAGCTAATGTGTACTGATGATGACCATGCTGTCCAGTCACTTCTAGCATTGAGAGTGGGTCGTACCAAGCCATGGTCAACTGCATAATCGCATCTGGTACATATAACAGATGGGATAGCCAGCTAAAAGAGCCGCTTTTCTATATGTGATAGACTAATACGGCGAGTGAAATCAAACAATGACTTGAGGGCCACTTTGCAGTACACGTTATACGAATGGATAGCGACGAGCAATCTCAATGTGCACCGTGGTTTGCACTGAAGTGAACCTTGGTCAATTCGATCACTGGGACCGTAACTGGGGTGTTACCTAACCGAAAACCAATTGAGATTACGCGTCGTAATTCAATCACGCAACAAGTACTTCGAAATGACCATCCAATCAGTTATTAAACGTTGCGATAAGTGTTGCCCGTCTTGACTCGTTGGCTAAGGGGGTTGATTCATTCATAAGCTGGAGATGAAAAACACTTCAGCTACTGTACCGCAATATAGAAAGGAAAAAAATGAAAATAAATGCAACAGTTGCGTGCCATCTGAGCCACCAGTAACGGATGGGCATGGTTCCAGAAAGCTAACAGCCGGCAACTTCGCAACAAAAAAACAGTTATTATGTTTAAAAATGGAGATCAATCTCCGGAACCATTCGAACCCCCACTCAGCATGTATGTAACAGAAACACTTAGAGACCTTACCGCGATTTGGCGACACATAACTAACACCAATGAGCATGCCCTTTATACATGCATCATTCCTAGGCAAAAAGTAGGTATAGTTTTTCGAGCCATGTATTTTTCTAACACTTATCTCTGTCGTTCGGTGTACCCACGCTTATAGTGTTTCTGTGGCTCTGTCAACCACTTGAGAATGCCTGTACTGGCGTGTCTCGTTTCATCGAGAATATAACTATTTATGTATATTATGCTAAGATCGTGGTTAGAGGGGGAGGCTAAGAAGGATGAGGAGGGACAAAGAAACTCACAATACGAACGCTATTGAGGTCGGCTCCGATCCATGTCAGCAAGCGTATGCAGTCAAACGTGTTCATCGTCTTGCGAACCCCAACCAGGAAGCCGAGACTCTCCAACCGAGGCCAGCTCCGAAGCGAGGGCCTTAAGGGGGGGGGGGGGGGTAGAGGTCCTACCTAACATCCCAAAGAATTCAAACACCATTCGATCGATGGAGTTTGCCTCGAATGGCAGTGGCGAACGGACCATAGAACCATTTGCAAATCGCACTCACAACGTATCATTACGAATGGCTTCATGCCATAAAGAACAAGCCGTCTGAAGTGATGAGAGAAGTTAATAAAATTCCGTCGCTTGGCCAACCTTTGGAGAGCTGTGTAACAGGGATCAAGGCTACTAACAACGAACACGTCTGCGGATACAACACGGAAAAAGGCAGTGGTATAAAGTTCCACAGACATTTGCGGGTGGCAACGGATAAGTGGAAAGGTATTCAGAGCATTCCATTTGCTTTGTTATTGTAGCTGCACGACAAATGTTTCTGAGGAAAAAAGAACTCGATAGTAATATGCGGTACAGAGCCCAAAGTATCAGTTTCGGGGTTACAACCGTAGATCCGAGACGTGACTACCAATGTGGTCAGATGTAGGTGACTACCGGTTCGGTGAAAAATGCGTGGCCTCACATACTAAAGATGTCGAGACGAATGAATACGTGACAACGGTGCCGACTTCAAATGGCCTGGAAGGTGACGTTGACGCAAACAGAAATAAGACAGCACAGAATAGAGGAATAAATTGCGTAAAAATTGATAGAAACGGCGCAAGTATTGGAAGAGAGTCATTGAAACAAACAGTATTACGTTGTGAATCAAGGAAAGCAATGGTGAGGGCAAAACGGCGGTTCAGTAATTGGTATTCACAAAGTAGTACCCTCTGATGAACTCTACAGCCACCTGCGCTAGCTAGGTAATGCTCCTCATATGCGTGTGACGAACTGCTGCGGTGTTATGTACGCCAATATTGCATTCACTAGAACCCTATGATAACCAGCCGAAAACATGACAGATCAGTTGGGATGGGACAACCGAAGAAAAAAACCGAATTCATGAATGCCATCCTCAGGGAGGTGGTTCTGGGGTCGGTAAAAGAAATAGTTCTACAGCCAGTCGGATGTCTCATTTACGAAATAGGTGGTGCTCGTCCATTTGCGCATTTGCAGTATGCGTGGTGCATGCAAAACAGGACACCCTTTGCATTGACAGACTGAGTTCGGGGTTAAAACAAGCATTCGATTACAAATGACGCTACTAAATGCTGAAGCTTGACTCGATATGGTTCAAAAGAGTGAGATTCAACTTGCCATTCGTTTTCGAAAGGGTGCATGAATGTCTTCAAAACTCCTCTCTCCGACTGCGATGCAGTGAAAGACAAAATTCAAAGTACAAAAAATTTTCCTTATCGGCAGTTACGTTGGTCACTAACATTCAATTTTGTGAACATAAATGCAAATGCTTAGGACATGATCCTCTTATGAATGGACAGTACCAGAAGTTCTTCATCTGTCACTGACAGAAATACTGTGCTCATTCAACTGCTGAAGCTAAACTCCAATAAAACAATTGGCCCGGACGGAGTATCTCCCCTTGTCTTCAAGGTATGTGTTGATTACTTGACCCAGCATCTTGATGACCTGTACACGTCGTGAATACATTAAGGTAAAATAGTCGACTGTTGGAGAAATGCAAGAACTACACCAATGCCAGATAAATACCGGCCAATTGCTTGCAGCTCAGTAAACCTAAGGTCTTCGAAAAGATTATCCTTGAAAGGATAATGACTCAAACTCATTCAGATGATCCGCTTCAGTTTGCTGACCGTAGATTGAGGTCTACTGAAGACACATTTGCCTACCTTGTAGATTAAGTGTTGGTGTCACTAGATAAAAAGATCAAATCTGTGCGAATATGTGTTCTCCACTATAGCAATGCTATCGGCAGTATATATGGGACCGAAATCCAACTAGCCAGTGTCTACTTTCTGAAAGACTATTTCTCTGGACGTGTCAAGTTTACTCGACTTGGGGTAATAGGCACTGTTATCACTACATGCACTAAAATGCAGTGACGTTCATTTTTTCCATCCAAACGACTGTCGTTATAAGTAATTTGATGAATCACCCAGAAGCTCACATAGATGATGAGAGGTTGCACTTCACCGAGTCTGTGAAGTATCTTGGCGTTATACTCAGCCGTGATCTATCACAGTCCCTCCACGTGAATGAAGTTTTTACGAAAGTGAGGAGGCTTTCATTTTACGCTGCTCGTTTGCAATCCTCCACTGTCCCCCGTTACCTAATACTGTGATTTAACACCGCTTGCGTCTTACCTCACTGGACTTATTGCTCCGCTTTGAGATTCCCAGGTTTCCTAAGGAAGCGTTTCAAAATCCAAATAGGTCATTGACACAATTGTCGCGATGTAGTTACATTCTAAAACAGACGTTTGTTGACATCAATGTGCGTACGCATTCCAGTTCGTGCAAAAGATTTGCCGCAAAATACTCGCTAATGCAAGTCTTTATAGTGTAGTGTTTGATCGTATATCAGCTTCCTCAACCAGACAAAAGTACAGATCCATTTATGCCCGTATAAAAGCCTACAACTCAGTCGCAATCCCATACTTGGCGAGTATTTTGTGCAACCGGACCTCCATCGTTATGGAGCTTACAAGCAAAGTTGTATTGTAACAATATTGCCGTCGTTGCTGCTCATAAACTTGTTGTGTATTCTTTTCACAATGCTGAAGGCTTGTGTGCAACAGCTGAAAAGCCACCCTCCAGGGTGCGTAAAGCTTTTAAATTGAATTGAATTACAAGTATATGCGGAAGTGCATGGGTCCGATAGGCTAAATGCGCAGTAAAGAATAGCACTGAAGTACAGCAAAAATACCTAAGCTCGCACGGGTGACAATGTCGGCTGATATCCGGGTTGGCAGTTGTGTTAGGAGATCAGCTGATCCACTTATGAAACTAAGTCCATGCGGTGCCACATGCTTAACAGGGTCTTGCTGAGTTCGCGTGCGAAGACCATCCAGCTCAGGCAAAAAAGTGGTAATATACAATTATAAGAAAAAACGAAAAGGTAGTCGTAGCTCTGGGAGTCTATTCTGTCTTCTCCACGTTCATGAAGAACATGATAATTGAGGATGATCCGCGCTATATCACAGTCAGAAATCAGCTGTGGCAGTCTGCTGCCGTCACAAATAGCTCAGTTGCATAGCTCGCTGACTCGTAAAAGTAAAGTCATGGGTTCGAATCCGGTGGATGCGCGTTACTCAGAAGTCCGAATAGGACGTGTGGCGCCTGTCTGACCGAGTTTAGCTGCGACGAAACTTCGCAAACACGATAAATACCCCCATTACCCTGTAACAAAAAAATAATAGATAAATGAAACAGTGTGGGAACATATTGCTTGTGCTAAGCGGCTCAAGACCTATCACCCATCGCTGTGACTCCGAAAGGTCACAGGATGCCTGTGCACCTAGTAGCTTACAATGCTCTGCACACATACATCGGTCAGCGGCCGAAAAGATTACGCTTACGCGTTGTAATCCTGAGGTCATCAGTTCGAATCCTCGTAGATAGGGGCGGTCCCGCGGTACAATTCACGCAAGAATGTTGGTGGTCGCGTGGCAACGAGGCCCAGATGTTGTGTAACGACGTACTTCCGATACTTTCCTCTACACGCAGTTCTACCCACACAAACACCATGAACAATGAGAATTCCGAAGCTTACACATCATGAGAATGCAAACCACGATTTTTTCAGGGCCTGCAGAAAATAGATCCATGTGAAGGAGTAAGCAAATCCAAGTGATGCTATCACAAAAGCTCGGCTGGCTAGCCGAACAACCTCCTCGTGGTGCCAGCTGTGGTTCGGGTTTAACCCGTTCCAGCAAATAGTTCGGCGGCAGTGTTCCAGGACGTGGTGGGTTTTCGCCCGGCAAGCGTTCTCCCTATAAAAAGCCACAAATGTCTGCTTATCAACACTGTGACGTGGCGGATGTGACTCGCCACAAAATAAAGTCACTGACCCGTGGACATCCGGAAAATGGTACCCAACCCACGGACATCAATCGCTTATTCTCACATTCCTACCGACAACAGTCAAAAATTCTGCGGCACATTCAAAAATACAAGCTACATTCATAGCCAATTACATACATATATACACCCATACACTTACATTCACTGTTATGCCAAACATGTACTCTTTGTACATTTTGATCACACTATGTTAGCTGAACATGATCATGCCTGTACAGGTGTGCCTCGCATTGTCGAGAATAAAAGTTTATTTATTTATTTATTTAATAAGTGCTATGCGCCCGGCCTAGTAAGGGAGGGACAGGCAAAATATACATGCATAAGTTGAGGATGTCATGAAGTAGCATGTTGCATGGTGGAACTGCTCTTTGGACACACCATCCCGCACCGTCTCTCGAGGTCAATAGCGAAGGTAACGGTATATACGAATGGGTAGAGATACTGTCGGTGTAAAAAGGCATCAGCAGTACGCCTGTACACTGTACCCACGATCCGCACCAATCGCGCGTAGGCTGAGTATACCGCGAGGTCGCCCTACCTACGCGGATTCGAATCGGTGACCTCCGGTTTACAAGGCAGGCACGTAATCCTTCCGATCACCGGCCGAGCTGTCGGGATTTGTATAGCGCGTAAGTGAATACAACATGGGGAATGAACTTGATGGAACTCGCCTAATCACACTCAAACAGGGCCCAAATACAGCGACGAGGCACATCCTGTGTGACCTCAGTGTGAACACAGGCACAATGTATGCAGGCCCACATACAACCTTTCTCACCTCAGGGAGAACAGGCACTGGTAGAACACCACTGTTGTCGTGAGCAGTGACGGTGAAATCATCACCAGAAGGACCTATGTAGATGGGAGAAGTTAGCGTGACTTCCTCCGTTATGGGCTCCTCAGGCGGTGGGACTGAAACGGATCTTCGACCGTACGTAGCAGGGTCCGGTACAGTTGAATCGTACAACAAGCTAGGGGGCAACACTGCATTTGACCAAGGGGAATTTTCGTTTGAGTGGTGAAGAAGAAGGCCAAATTGTTTGATGGAGTTTAATACGGCAGGAGCCTCTTTCAGAAACACTTGTTGATCATCCGGATCCAGGTACATGTTGTATGCGTTCATAGAGCGCAACAGACTGGAAAATAATTAGAGAAGAGGAGTGGAAACTAGTGGAAACAATCCGCAACAAACAAGAGTAGACCAAAGGAAATTCGGACATTAGCTCAACCAGACTGAGACGACAGTGAGATCATATGGGGAAGAAGTATGCCGCGGTATACTAAGGAGCAGTGAACATGGGCTTGCGGTGTGAGAAGGAAGGACTGCAGGAGATTATTGATGGAAAGTTTAACAATGGCTGACAGACATTGAGTGCTACCTGCCTGGGGAGAACACGTGCTTCAAAATGACCTCTCCAATTGTGACAGTGACTGTTTCACATGCAAGATTTCCGCTAGTGAGAGACACAAAAGTCGGAGTCTTGTAAGTATATTACTAGGAATGAAGATCTGCCGTGGAGCAAGATAAACTAGAGTATAATGGTGGGTTAGACAAGTGAGAAGGACATTAGGCCCCACGATTCACTTTCAATTTTATACCCCTCTCGATTAATACCCAATCAAATAACTGATGATGGCATGCGTACATCGACATCCTTGGGGTTAGCCATGATCTTGATATTACTGTTATACATGGAGCGAAAAGTTACCTCATACGATGAAGACACGAAAAAATTGGTAGGTAGAACAAATAAGTCACTATACTGTTCTAAATAGTATCTCCCTTCTCTGAAGGCGTGTTACATCCCACATTACCCGCATTCTTAATTGTGATGCATACACAAATGCAGTTGGAAGTTAGGTAACCAGGTTTCGCTTCTAGCTGGAAACCATATTGATTTTTTAATCGCTTTGTCCCTCACATGGTCCTACGAGAACTCCAGATTGTTCACTAGCTGGACTCGCCTCTCAGCAAACATTGCCACCAAGTCGTGCTTAAAGTATAAGGCCTCTAGTTCACTACAGCGCAAATGATCGCAATTTATTGAAATGCTATTACATTAAATACTTCTACTAAACATCGCACAAACTCTGCCTTACCTCAACTAGCTGGGCCGTTTCCTCCACCGAGCATCAACGCAAATGCTAACTGCTTGAGTTGAAGCATCGGACATTTAGAGGGAAACTGCGTTTGTACTGAAACTGAACGCGATAGGTCACATACAATGGCGGATCTATACTACTGTAGGTCCATGACAGTTAACATCATCTGCACATTCTCCCTTTGTTCATTCAGCAATACATAAATGTCAGTAAAATCTGAGCTGATCATTTGTGAATACAATTTCTAGAAAAGTCAGAGAATATGCACATGACAAAGCGCAGCAGGACAAAGTGACGCAGAGCAACGTATGAATCAGTCCGTTCCTCGTAGTGTCAAACTGCAAGATATCGAGGCCGAGGCGCCATCAGCTCTGGGCAGCCCCGAACAAGCACTCGAAATGATCAAGCGCTTCAAATGTAAAGTAATCCGTAAGATCTCTGGTGGCTAAACTACTAAAGAGAATACCGCACGTTTCCTCCAGATCTGTGGCTTTCACAACATGGTAGGATATCAGCCTGTCAGCTGAAGATAGAATGGGCGGTACTACACACAGCGCGACCGATGGTACATTATGGAAAAAATATGGCAACTTCGCACTAAACATATTAGTAAACTCGTTGTCTTCGATTATCGGTACCTGAAGAGTGAACTGGTTAAAATGCTCAAATTCACCAGTTGGTGTTTGAGACCAGTGTTACTTATGGATCACAGACCTGGCCAGTTCGCGGCGAAGACATGAGACACGCGTTTGAGCACCAGTGCCGGCAGAGTATTGCTCACGTCTGGTGGTAACATCGGGTGAACAATGCTAAGGCTTGTCAGTTGGTTTTTATCCTTTTGGTACCTCACTCGAGATTTGACTGAATCTTAATCGGTTAGATTGGCTAGGTCATGTCTTCCGTATGCGCGTTAACCGGCTTCTTCGACATGCAGTATACGCTGTGGCTGCATCAAGTTGGGCGAAACCGCAAGGGGGCCAGTCGATGACGTGGTTTAGGGGCACGAAGAAATTGACTGAGAGATTTGGTCAGGCTGGTGCGTGTCGTCTTCCTGGATGGGGGCCTCGGGATGGTCCACACCTACGGTTGGAGACCACTTCCGACTTGGCGCAGTCACGAAGTCAGTGGCATTTCTGCATTCGATTCCTTGTATCTGATTGTTAATTTTCATTCCATTCTGATTAGTCTAACGCGCCTTCTTGCCTCCATTTTCTTTAAAATGTATTTGCATTCAACCCAGTTATCTTGCCATTGCCATCTAGTGTTATTTTTGCGATGTGAGTCGTGGCAACTGCATCCACTGCACTTCGGTGCTGGGATCATAAATGTACAACAGAATTGGAACTGAACTGGTTTGTTGCTTCAAAAGGAACCGTATGAAGTCGCACTAATGGGGGCTAAAGTGAAAGCGAAATTGCAATCGCGATAAATTGGTCGTGTCGCTCGTATGCCCGTTGATTGTGAGGGCGCATCGTTTGAAGAAACGCCTAGTAGATGGATGAAATTGCAAGACGACTCACCGGCTGCGCGACAAAATGACATGAAGAAGTTGACTGAGAGACCTAGACATCCTTGCGCGAGCCGTCTGCCTAGAGGGAGCCCTCGGGGACGGATACATCAGTAGTTGCTTACCTTAGCCCATACGGCAGGCGCGGACTAACTGATACTAATGCACCAAAGTGCCAGCATTCCAAACCGGTTAATCATACTTGAGTGTTTCCCTAGTCGAGTAGCGGTTTGCCACAATTTCATCAACACTCGAACATTTAATAATTGCGCATGTCATGATGACCAGATTATAACCAGATAAGATTACCAGATGAACCACAAACAATGATTTATCACAGGTAAAAAAGCATATGCTTGACAAGTCCCGTAGGATGGTTGGAGTAAAAATTAAAATTTGAAGGATCATCGAATAAGTAAATCGTTATTTCAAGCGTCCACAGAGTCAAATGCACTACTGCATAACGATAGTTTTAAGTGGGAATGGGATGTGCACACGCAAAATAATATAGAGAGCCGTTATAGTTCAGTAAGTGCGTGAGAAATAAAAAGGAAAACGACAACGCTCACCCGTTTGCTTCTTCATTTGACAGATGTGAAAGGTTAATCCAGTTTAGCTACATCCAGGCTACTCACATGGACACTACTGCATGTATCATCACCACCAGGTTGCGGAGAGGGCCGTTAAGCACATGGTTAGGTTTCCATTGTTTTGTCCTCCAAGTGGAACAGACTATATCAAGTAATGCAAGTTTGAAAACGCTCCATCAAAATGTTTTTTGAAAAGCGTTAATGTAGGGGCAAGGAGAACGTGAGTCGGAAGGCCATTCCAGGCACGGAACACTAGGAGGGAGAAAAGGTTTCGTCGACAGTCAAGCCGACTGTAGTGCGTAGCCAGTTTGAACTGATGACCTCTCAGGTTGGTATTTCGGCTCAGCTGCAACAGACTGCGATATGGGTGAGTTGGGTTCATCAATGTTAAGTAAACCAGAATTAAGTCTCCTCGCTGACGTCGATATCCACCACTGTACAATCTCGGGGACTGCAGTCTGTGTTGGTAGGAGAGATGAAACAATCCTCTAACGAGTTTGGTCGCTCTACGTTGCGGAGTTTCAAGTGCATCGACGTCGCGCCTGCGAAAGGGACGCCAGGCCTGGATCGCATATTCCACGTGAGGCCTCACGTAGATGTTCAGCATTTGCGGAAGAATTGATGACTCAAAATTGCCGAAAGCCCTCCGTAAGAGTCCAAGGTGTTGACTGGCTCTTTTTGATGCCATTTCAGCTTGTCTAGAGCAACCAAGGTCGTCGTGCACGATCACCCCGAGGATGATTCCTTGGGAAGCACGTTGTAATTGCTGGTCCCAAAGTCGATATTCATAGATAAGCTGATGGCGTACACTTACGGCTTTGCACTTGGTCACGTTGAACTGGAGCCGGATATCGGACGACCACGCATAAGCCCTGTCGAGATCGCTCTGCAATGCCATGTGATCATCTGATGTTCTGATATCATGCCAAATTTCGATATCATCGAATATCATCAAATATTAAGAAATTCAACTGCAGTACACTGCCAGGATCGTTAATGAATGTGAGAAATAAACGTGGCCCCAGTACCGATCCTTGAGGCACGCCACACTGGACGTCAATTGGGTCCGAAATGGAGCTGCAGACTCTCACATTCAGCTGACGTTGAGCGAGGAAGTTGCTGATCCAACCGAGTAAAGTATCACCGATTCCATAGCTTCGCAGCTTGTGAAGGAGAATGCGGTGGTCCAAACGGTCGAACGCTTTCGAGAAGTTCAGGTAGACAACGTCGACTCCCACTCTGGCATCGGCTGACTCAGTCCAGTTTGCTCGGGCTAGCAGCAAGTTTGTAGTGCAGAATCGATTTCGGTGGAATCCGTGTTGCTGAGACACTAGGATGTTGTTACTCTCAAGGTATTCCATGAGCGCCTCTGCAACTATACGTTCCATTACTCTGGATACAACTGGGAGGAGAGTGATTGGACGGTAGTTTGAGGACTCGTAACGATTACCACTTTTGTAAATGGGAGTAACCAGTCCATGTTTCCACATTGTCGGAACCTGCATTTTATCGAGACAACGTTGAAAGAACCGAGTTAATGGTTCGGCAATTTGCATGGCCGCTGTCTTCAGGGCCTTCGGTTTGATGTCATCCACGCCAGGTGAGCTGTGCACGCGCAATGACATTAGTGTTTTCATAACATTGGCTGCCGTGAACGATACGTGGTTGAACCCTGGTGTCGATGGAAGCTGCGTAAAAAACGGATGAAATGATGGTTCACTCCGGAAAGTATGGACGAAGTATTGGCGAAGCACGTAGGCTGCATCCTGTGCAGTTTGCGCAAGACCATCTGTTGCACGTAAAACCGGGATCCCGCGCTGCACTCTGCGGAGCTATTTGAGACTGAGACTGCATTTAAGAGCAAGTAGAAAGGTTTCTGTACAACTCTATCGAATCACGAAAAATCAAAAACATTTAGTTGTGAATCATCAGCAGT